AGGAAAATGGGGGTTATATATCTGTGGAATGTCCAGGGTGGGAAAAGGAACTTGTTTGAGGCAAGTGTGAATGTTGCAAATGGCCACCTTGATTAGCATTGGATAGCCTGTGGACATTCCAAAGATATATAAAACCAAATTGCCTAATTTCCAACAGACCTCACAACGGGTTGGTGTAGGTTTTTTGGGCTATATGGCCATGTTCTAGGAGCATTCTCTCCTGACGTTTCACCTGCACCTATGGCAAACATCCTCAGAAGACCTCACAACCTCTAAGGATGCTTGCCATAGATGCAGGCGAAACGTCAGGAGAGAATGCTTCTAGAACATGGCTATACAGCCCGGAAAACCTACAACAACCCAGTGATTCCAGCCATGAAAGCCTTGGACAATACATAGACCTCACAACCTCTGTGGATGCTTGCCATAGATGCAGGGGAAACATCAGGAGAGAATGCTTCTGAAACATGGCCATACAGCCCAGAAAACTCACAACAACCCAGTCATTAGAATCATAGAGTTGGAAGAGATTTCGTGAGCCATCCAGTCCAACCCCTGGTAAGAAAGCCGGAAAATCATATTCATAGCACCCCGACAGATGGCCATCCAGCCTTGGTTTAAAAGCTTCCAGAGAAGAAAGAATTAAAAGAAAGCTAAGACAAATAAAGATAAACTTAATGTAGCACAGTTTTACTGGTTTACTATATTATAAAAACAGCTTTTTAAAAAATTGGCAGTATTGTTTATTCATTTTTTTGCCAGTTGCTTGAGAGTTCCAGTTAATCAAGAGTCTACTGTACCATTATTCCTTCTGCCCAAGAGATATGGAACCTGTCGTTTTCTGTCCGAAATCGCGTATTGAGTATTAAAATTGAAGCATTTTGTTTTGGTCTTGTTTTGTTTTGAAAACCTGGCTTTTTTCTCCCACAAAATAAGCCAGTTTTATTGTCCTTTCCCCTGATTAATAAAGGCACCACCAATGTGTATTTTGACCAGCGATGCTCCCTAAATTTCTCTGTTTCCAAAAGAGAAGGACTTTCCTGCGTATCCATCCGCCCTGAAACATTTCCTCTCTGTGCCCTGGAGGTGCCTTTGAATTAGTTTGACCCAAATCATCCCCACTTGGACCTTCACATCAAGGGGATTGAATAGCTATGGCCCAATGGGGCAGCCTGAAGAGGAGGCTTAACATAGGTATTCGTTTCAATTGGGAAAACTGGGTCTATTACTTTTATTAAGACAGCATTGTCAGGAGGTACATTGGCAAATCACTCCATCCAATGCCAACTTTTCCACAAGGCCTTCTCCCCCAATTCCTTTTCTGTGTATTGTTGAATGCTTTCATGGACGGAATCACTGGGTTGTTGTAAGTTTTTCGGGCTGTATGGCCATGTTCCAAAAGCATTCTCTCCTGAGGTTTCACCCACATCTATGGCAGGCATTCTCAGAGGTTGTGAGGTCTGTGGAAATTAGGCAAGTAAGGTTTATATATCTGTGGAATGACCACAGGCAGGCCCGTAGCAAGGATTTTGATTCGTGGGGGGGGGGGGTCTGAGTGAAAGAGGGTCTACCCTAGCAAACCTTTTGTATCGTTACCCCAATACCCCCATGCATATGGGATATATTGAGCATGGTGATCAGATCATGATATGAATAAACATAACAGTTTAAATAATGTATCAGTAAGGCCTTCTTATGGACCACCATGAGAATTTCGGGGGGGGGGGGCTGAAGCCCCTCAACCCCCCCCTCCCTACATGCCTGACCACAGGCTATTCAGTGCTAATCAAGGTGGCCAACAAACAAGAGTTCTTTCTCTCACCCTGGACATTATTCCACAGATATTCCACTTGCATAGTTTCCAAAAGACCTCACAACCTCTGAGGATGCCTGCCATAGATGTGGGCGAAACTTCAGGAGAGAATGCTTCTGGAACATGGCCATAGAGCCTGGCAAACTCACAGAAACACTCAAAATCAGGGTAATTCCAGAGAAGAAACTATCAGGGCTAACCGCTCCCAATAAAGGATCCCTCCAGTCAGCAACCAGTCAGGCTTTGAAGTTGCAAGGCCATTCAACGCTAATCAAGGTGGCCAATTGCAACATTCACACTTGCTCCAAACAGACAAGAGTTCTTTCTCCCAGCCTGGACATTATTCCACAGATATTCCACTTGCCTGGTTTCCAATAGACCTCATAACCTCTGAGGATGCCTGCCATAGATGCAGGCGAAACGTCAGGAGAGAATGCTTCTGGAACATAGCCATACAGTCCGGAAAACTCGCAGCAACCTTACCCAAAGATGTCTGTCTTCGTATTTCCCCTTCTCCTTGCCTGAGTTGGAAACATATAGGAGTGCAATACCAGGACATATTTAACTGGGCTTAACGCCTATTGAATTGGGTGGGAGCTCATAATAATAATAACACCTCCACTCCTTGGTCTGTATCTAGATTTCCCCTCCTTCCCTCCAAAGGCAACATGAGTGGGAAACATATAGGACCGTCGCCTCCTACCGGGATGTGTTTACCTAGACGTCAGGCCTATTGGATCTGATGGAAGTGAAAAATAAAAACCCGACTCCCAGGTCTGTATCTCGACGTCCCCTTCTCCTTTCCAAAGCCAGCCTGAGTCAGAATCATATAAGACGGTCGCCTCCTACCGGGACCCTGGACGTATTTACCTGGAAGTAAGGCCTAGTAAATGGAACAGGAGGGTTTAGAAGAATACGAAAACAATCCAATTCTCAGCAAGGAACTTGTTTTCTATCTCATTCAATGATCAGACCGGGGAAATCCAAAGACACACACACACAGAGAAATATATTTTTCACCGGGTTGCTGTGATTTTTCCATGGCCATGTTCCAGAAGCATTCTTTCCTGACGTTTCGCCCATATCTATGGAAAACATCCTCAGAGGTTGTGAGGTCTGTTGGAAACTAAGCAAGTGAGGTTTATATAGTCCAAGGTGGGAGAAAGAACTCTAGTCTGTTGGAGGCAAGTGTGAATGTCGCACTTAATCACATTGATTAGTGCTGAAAAGCCTTGCAGCGTCAAAGCTTGACTGATTCCTGCTTGGGGAAATCCTTTGTTGGGAGGTGTTAGCTGGCCCTGATTGCCTGGAGTTCCCCTGTTTTTAAATATTGTTCTTTATTTACTCTTATGATTTTAGAGTTTTTTAATACTGGTAACCAGATTTTGTTCATTTTAGAGGTTTTTTCAGAGTTTCCCTGTTTTTGAATGTTTTTCTTTATTTACTCTTACTATTTTAGAGTTTTTTAATACTGGTAACCAGATTTTCATTTGAATGTTTCCTCCTTTCCGGTGAAATTGTCCACATGTTTCATGTTTCACATTTTTCAATGACTTCTTTGTGTAGGGCCTGCAAATCACCTCCCAACAAAGGATTCCCCCAGGCAGGAAGCAGCCAAGCCTGGAAGCTACAAGGCCTTTCAATGCTAATCAAGGCAGATAATTGCAACATTCACACTTGCCGCAAAGAGAAAAGAGTTCTTTCTCCCACCCTGGACCTTCCACAGATATATAAACCCCTCTCGCCTAGTTTCCAATATACCTCACAACCTCTGAGGATCCTGCCAGAGATGAAGTGGGGGGGGGGGGGGGGGGGGAGAGAGAGACGTCAGGAGAGAATGTTTCTGGAAATGGCCATGCAGCCCGGAAAAAGCACAGCAAGCTAATGATTTATTTTACACCATTCTTTGGAATGGTCCAGAGGAAAAGCTAGAAAGACCGGTATCCACTAATTGCAGTGATGCAAAAGTATCTAAACACATATAAATTCAATGTATACATACAAATATAAATGTCAGTAAAACATGGGATTTTTTGTTGTTGTTTATTCGTTCAGTCAGTCTCTTCCGATTCTTCGTGACCTCATGGACCAGCCTACGCCAGAGCTCCCTGTCGGCCGTCTCCACCCTCAGCTCCCCAGATTGTTACATTCACATTAACAGAAATAATTTGTTCTTTTCTCAAAATATGAAAAAAAAATCCTCTTTAGGTGTGTGGAAATAATTATTGTGCCTTTACTACAGATGAGTAGACTCTGCAGAGTAAATGAGTAGACTCTGTAGAGTAAATTTCGTCACCACCCCCAGCTCCTCAGATTGTTACATTCACATTAAACATAAATAATTTGTTCTTTTCTCAAAAGATGAAAAAAAATTCCTCTTTAGGTGTGTGGAAATAATTATTGTGCCTTTACTACAGATGAGTAGACTCTGCAGAGTAAATGAGTAGACTCTGTAGAGTAAATTTCGTCACCACCCCCAGCTCCCCCAGATTGTTACATTCACATTGAACAGAAATAATTTGTTCTTTTCTCCAAAGTTGAAAAAAAATTCCTCTTTAGGTGTGTGGAAATAATTATTGTGCCTTTACTACAGGTCAGTAGGCTCTGTAGAGTAAATTTGCAGAGTAAATGTCCTATTTCCTTTATCACACAAGAGTGGGCTCCAGCATTCACTCAGAGGGAAAGCCTCCAGACCATCGCCTGCCCCCATCCCGGCCTCTATCGGGTCCTATAAGCGGGTTATATTTGGGAGTCAATTGATCTTCCTGGGCATTGACTTGCGCCTAGAGATCAGGGAACAGGAAGGGCCCGGAGGAAAATGCCCGCATGGCGGATCCAAACAACAACAACAATAATAACAACAACCCGGGTGCGATGCAGAGAGGCGTTGTGACCCCCGAAAACCCTCTCCGCCTTTCCCAATCACTCTCTCTTTCTCTTCCCCCCTCCCATCCGGGAATTTTGAAAGGAAACAAGGTCTTAGAAGGGCTCTGCACACTTTTAGACTTTCTAGGAACCTTTCAAGGCTTGGAAAACATGGGAAAAGCTTGGGAATCCAAAGCAGAAGAAGCCCGGGGAGAGGAAAAGGCAGACCCCAAACCTGAGGAGTGCTAAGGAGTCAGGACTATGCCCTGGTTTTCTTTGGGAGCCAAGTGTGAGAGTGGCTGAAAGAAACAAAACAACTTACAGGATCCGGAAAGGATTTTCAAAGGCAGAAAGGACTCAGCGAAGAGGCGGAAGAGCGGGAATCGGAGGGTGGCTCGGTGGCTGCGTACGACCGCTCCTCCAGTCTTTTTCTTCCTCTTTTGCCCCGTCTTTCCTCCCTCTTTTTCCTGCTTCTCCTTCTGTCTGTCTGTCTCTTTTTTTTCGCCCTCTTCGGCTCCAGCGGCGCTCAGGCTCAGCAGCTCCCTCGCAAAAGCCTCTCTCTCTCTCTCTCTCTCTCTCATTCTCCCTCTCTCTCTTTTTCTTTTCCGGGGGCTCTCTGCATTAGCCAATTCCATTGACAGTTTTCAGCCAGCAGCTGCAGTCATTAAAAGGCATTTACACCCTGGCCTCCTTCGCACAAAGATAGAGCGCCAACAATTATCTGCTTGTACGTTTAAGGACATGAGAATGTGTCCCTAACAGGCTTAGGAGGCGAAGAGGGGAGATGCAGGACCAAGCAAAAAAAAGGAACAAAACAACAACCCCATACMCCTCCCCTTCGCTCCCATCATACCCCCCCCCCCGCCGCCCCTGCGTTTGTTTGTTGCTTTGTGTATTTGTTTGTTTGTTGACTGGGTGCCCGAGAGGCCAATTCCTGAGAAACCCGCCTGCAAAACCGAGCTGGGAGAAAGAAAGTCGCCCAGGCAGGGCAGAAAGTCAAAGCCAAGCCTGGACTGGGCTCAGAAGCAGGAGGGTGAAAAAGAAAGCAAGGCTCTCTTCTGCTGGAAACAACATCTTCGTACACAGACATCAACTTTCTAAGACAGCAGAAAGATGCGTCCCTGCCTTTTGTAGCCGCCTCTTGCCTGGGAGCAATAATAAAATACTAATAAATCATCATCAACATCAAGCGAAAAATTAAATAAATACCCAGAAGCAAGGCTTGGGCACACATAAATGGGTTGGAGCCACTCTGAGTGGAAGAACTGGGAACCTGAGGCCACAGTTTGGCTGAAAGATGTTGTCCAAGGCTTTCATAGCCGGAATCACTGGGTTGTTGTGAGTTTTCCGGGTTGTATGGCCATGTTCCAGTCCATACTTCAGGAAATAAAGCCCCATTGCTCACTGGAGGGAAGGATATTAGAGGCAAAGATGAAGTACTTTGGCCACATCATGAGAAGACAGGAATACTTAGAGAAGGCAGTGATGCTGGGGAAGATGGAAGGAAAAAGGAAGAGGGGCCAACCAAGGGCAAGATGGTATCTGGCTTGACTCTGAAGGAGCTGGGGTGACTCTGAAGGAGCTGGGGGTGGCGACGGCCCACAGGGAGCTCTGGCGTGGGCTGATCTATGAGGTCCAGAAGAGTCGGAAGGGACTGAACTAATAAACAACAATGGCCATGTTCCAGGGGTGGGTGACGCGTCAGAAGATCTGGCTACCAGTATTTTAAAAACCCTCTAAAATCAGGACAGTAAATAAATAACAACACTCTGAAAACAGGGCAATTCCAGACAGAAAACAATCAGAGCCAACTAACACCTCATAACAAAGGATTCCCCGGCAGGAATCAGCCAGGTTTTGAAGCAGCAAGGCTTTCTAATGCTGATCAAGGTAATTAATTGCAAGATTCACACTTGCCCCCAACAGACTAGAGTTCTCTCTCCAACCTTGGACTATATAAACCTCCCTCGCTTAGTTTCCAACAGACCTCACAACCTCTGAGGATGTCTTCCATAGATGTGGGCGAAAGGTCAGGAAAGAATGCTTCTGGAATATAGCCACACAGCCCGGAAAACTCACAGCAGCCTTGCAGTAAGGACATTCCAGGTTTTCCACGATTTTCAGATCATGGATCTGTGTGTGTGCATATGTACATATATGTAAGGGGAGAGAACCATTTCCTTCTAAAGCCTCTGAGATGAAGAATTGAGAGCCAGGGATCATAATTTTGCTGAAAAGGGGGCCATAAAGAAACGCAAGGTTTGGGCATGGGGTTCCACGAGCTTTCAGGGTATTAATCTGTGTTTTGGTCCTGTTATAAGTGCCACACACACACATGGAGAGAGAAAGAGAGAGAGAAAGAAAGACTGAAGCATTACTTTGGAGTCTTTTCCTCCTAAACCAGGCATGAGCAAACTTGGGTCCTCCAGGTGTTTTGGACTTAGCGGCTGAGGGGGAAAAAGAAGGGGCCTGAGGCTGTTAGGAATGGTGGGAGTTTGAGTCCAAAACACCTGGAGGGCCCAAGTTTGCCCATGCCTGTCCTGAACCCTCTGAGAACCTGAGATTTTCTGAAAGGTGTCATAAAGAAATTCAGGATTTGCGCATAGCCTTTTCGGTCGTCTGCACATTAATCTTTGTGTGTGTGTGATACATCTATATCTATATTTATCTCCAAAGAAAGAGGGATTGGGCGTCACTTTGGAGCCTTTTGCTCCTAAACGCTCTGAGCTGAAAACACGGAGGACTTGGGAGTTCTGGTGAAAGGCGCAAGGAAGAAATGCAACTGTTTACTTCTAGGATCCGACGATCTGGAGATCCTGTGTGTGTGTGTTGAGAGAGAGATATTGAGTCTTTTTTTCCTCCTAAAGGTTTTCAAGGGAAGCAAGCCAAGCCCTCACCGGTGAAACTCCCAAGTGTCTTTCCAATCCGCTGAGTCCGAAGAAAGAGACCTTGACCTGGAAGGCCAAGTCTCTGGATTTGCAAAAGCCACGACTTCCGGGCAAGCCTTTCCATCCAAAAAGGGACTCCTCCAAAACCCCTCCTGTTGTAAGAAAGGGGGATTTTGATAAGATTTAGCATTCGTGGTGGAAAGAGGGAGGAATCCCATCCTTGGAGACGATTTCTAAAGCGCTCCCACATTGCCACCCTTTCCCAGTGGCTCCGAAGTTCCTTCCCCTTCCTTTCGTCCCCTTTTTGTCTGCCAGTCCTTCCTCTACGATTCCCGGGAAGGCAAAGAGAATCTTCGAGGCTGGACCATTTCTGAAATGGGTTGTTGTGAGTTTTCTGGGCACTATGGCCATGTTCCAGAAGCATTCTTTCTTGACGTTTCGTCTGCATCTATGGCAGACATCCTCAGAGGTTGTGGGGTCTGTTGGAAACTTAGCAAGTCCAGGATGCGAGAAAGACCTCGAGTCTGTTGGAGGCAAGTGTAGATGTTGCAATGCATCCCCTTGATTAGCATTGCAAAGCCTTGCAGCTTTAAAGCCTGGCTGATTCCTGCCTGGGGGAATCCCTCCTTGGGAGGCTTTAGCTGGCCTTGATTGTTTCCTGTCTGGTATTCCTCTGTTTTTAGAGTATTGTTCTTTATTTACTGTCCTGATTTTAGAGTTTTTTAATACTAGTAGCCAGATTTTGTTCATTTTCATTGTTTCCTCCTTTCAGGTGAAATTGTCCACATGGATTTCAATGGCTTCTCTGTGTAGGGCCTGCTAATCACCTCCCAACAAAGGATTCCCCCAGGCAGGAAGCAACCAAGCTTGGAAGCTGCAAGGCCTTTCAATGCTAATCAAGCCAGACAATTGTGGATGTTAAAATGAATCAGCTTCATTAGCATTGAAAAGCCTTGCAGCTTCAAAGCCTGGTTGATTTCTGCCTGGGGGATCCTTTGTTGGGAGGTGTTAGCTGGCCCTGATTGTTTCCTGTCTGGAATTCCCCTGTTTTCAGAGTGTTGTTCTTTATTGTCCTCATTTTAAAGGTTGTTTTTTTTTAAAAAAATACTGATAACCAGATATTCTGATGTTTCACCCACCTTGCAGCTTCAAAGCCTGGCTGATTCCTGCCTGGAGGAATCCTTTGTTGGGAGGTGTCAGACCTCACAACCTCTGAGGATGCCTGACATAGATGTGGGCGAAACGTCAGTAGAAAATGCTTCTGGAACATGGCCATACAGCCCGGAAAACTCACAACACAGAGATTTCGGCCATGAAAGCCTTCGACCTCACAACCTCTGAGGATGCCTGACATAGATGTGGGCAAAACATCAGGAGAGAATGCTTCTGGAACATGGCCATACAGCCCGGAAAACTCACAACAACCCAGAGATTTCGGCCATGAAAGCCTTCGACCTCACAACCTCTGAGGATGCCTGACATAGATGTGGGCGAAACATCAGGAGAGAATGCTTCTGGAACATGGCCATACAGGAAAACTCACAACAAGCCAGAGATTCAGGCAATGAAACCCTTCGACAATACATTTCTGAAATGTGAGCTAAGTTCTGGCCAAAGATGGAGAGGCTGGCTTTGGAAAGCATTCCTTCCACCGCCCTCCTCCCTTTCCCTTTTTTTTCCTGTGCACAGAAAGAAGTGTTTAAATCCATCAGTCCAAATTAAGAGTCAAGTTGTTTGCGTTGGGAATATGAACCAGACACACACACACATCCTCGTTGACAGTTGGGTTGAGAAGTGATGAATACCTCACCCAGCCAAGGTCTTCCGGCCCAGTAGCTCTTCCAACTGGACCCATTCATCTGCCAGTTGGCATTTATTTCAGGGTGAAGCTACTCGCTGAAAAGATCCCAAAGCAGTTGGGGAGTCCGGCTCAAGACTCTCCCCTCCTCGAATTATGAGGAGAAGGAGGAGGAGGAGGAATGATCCACCCAAGAGGCCAAGTCACGCGATGCTTCGCGCTTTCCATTGTCTCTCTGCCCCTCACCTCTTCCTTCTCCCCTCCCATTGAGGTCTACCAGGAGTTTTGGGCTCCCTATCTCACCCTCATCCCTCCTTTTCTTTCTCCCCCTCCCCTCTTCTATATCTGCATCGGAATGCGGAGCAAAGTTGGTGTATGTGTGTGTGTGTGTTTTTCCCCCTTCAAGTTTTGAATTCCTCCATGATTTTCCCCCCTTCCCCTCTACTTCTAGAAAGGCGGCTTAGGATAATTATTTCAGCTTTATTGAGGGCAGATTAGGAGAAGTCTGGATGCTGCGTTTCAATACGCGTTCTACATGCCTCGACAATGTCCCTATTGTTGGCGACTGTGTGTGAACCCATTCAAAATATACACTTTTTAACACCAACCAAAGTCCTGTCTAAATATACACAGTCGGGCTGGAAAGACAGCCATGACCCGTACAAATCTCTGTAAACCACACTTCCATGGCCGCAGCAACCACACAAAGGAGTGACCGGCTCAACATGCCGATTAAAATCGCCTTAAAAAGCGACGCACCTCCGGATCAAAATGCAGGCGGGCGGCGGAAGGGAAGGCCGGCGGAGCTACTCCTGGGAGGAGGAGGCTCAGAAAGGTGCTCCTAGGCATACACACACGGCCAGACCTCTCTTACACACTCACCCAAATACACACACACACACACAGAAACAAAATCAGATCTCTCTCTTATACAGATACATAGACCTGATTTGTGTGTATGTGTGTATATACGCACACACCAGATCCCTCTTACAAACACTATTTATCTGTCTATCTATCTGTCTGTCTATCTATCTATCTATCTATCTATCTATCTATCTATCTATCTATCTATCTATCTATCTATCTATCTATCTATCTATATGTTTATATACATATCCCTATATATTATATTTATTATATATCCATATGTATATTCCTATATAATATATTTACTCTATACCCATATAGAGACACACACCAGATCCCATATACACACACATACACACACGCACACCAGATCCTTCTTACACACACATTATATATATATATCCCTATATGTTTATATACATATCCCTATATATAATATTTATTATATATCCATATGTATATTCCTATATAATATATCTACTCTATACCTATACACACACACACACACACACACACACACACATACACACACACCAGATCCCTCTTACACACACATAAATATAATATATATCCCTATATATTTATATATCCCCGATATATTATATTCACTATATATCCACACACACACCAGATCCCTCTTACACACATTATTATAATATATATCCCTATACACATATATCCCTATATATTATATTTATTATCTATCTATCTATCCATCCAGACATACACACACCAGATCCCTCCTACACACACACAAATATCATCCCTATATATTATATTTACTATATATATTCACATACATCAGATCCCTCTTACACACACATTATTATAATATATGTATTTCCCTATATATAATATTCCTATATATTGTATTTATCTATTTATACATACATACATACATACATACATACATACATACATACATCAGATCTCCCTTACACACACATAAATATCATCCCTATATATTATATTTACTATATATCCATATATGCATAGATACATAAATACACACACATATACAAATCTCTCTTATACACATACAAATATATATAAGACTGTTTGTGCATATGCAAAAGCGCATACACATATACATAGACCAAGAGAGGACTTTATAAGCGTACATCTATATGCCAGATATAAGCGTACATCTATATATAGGAGTGTGCATATATAGTCTAAATAGGTGTGTATTTCCACCCACTTGCTGGATTTTCACAAAATATGTTTCCTTTTACAAAAATAAAAAAAATAATACAAGAACTGAGGAAATCTCATCCTGAAGAGGTGAAAGTGACCAGAGGGGATGCATATTATCTCCAGACTCTGGCAGAAGGATAAAACGCACAACAAAAGAGGCAATGAATGGGGTTTATGACAATTGAGGGGAGTGGGAAGAATGGAAAATGGAAGATAATTTTCTGGAAGATCTAAACTATCACCCTGACCCTCTTCCCCGACAAAATTTGCTGAAATGTGCATTTCTTCCCTGATTCTGGGACAGTTCAGGGGTTGTTGTGGTTGGTTTGGAAACGTGGACTCACTCAGAAGCACATCCCACCCAATCCAACCGGGATGAAGTCGGAGAGGTTTCCTTCTTTCCCCTGGAAGGACCCAAACCTGTGCTGTTTTCCCACATCCTGGAGATGGAAGGAAGAGTTTGGCAAAGTTTGGACGCTGAAGGGACCCCCGGTGGAACTTCAGGGGCTGTGGGTGGGGAAGAGGGAGAGGAAACTAACCTGCTTCTCCCCCCTTTGCGACAGGCTCCATCCTTGGGAGGCCTCTCCTGGCCGGGTCAGCGGATGGATGGGCCTAATGATCTCATCTCGCTTTTCTTTCCCCGGCGCTATTAGTGCTCAGATAGGCAGAAACGAAGCGCAACTACGTGCAAATCATGTGCAAATCGTCTCCCTTCGGAGCCCTTTTATCCCACGCGGGGCCACCGTCTTCGCCTGAAACCACACCGCCACCTTCCTCCCCTTCCCCATTTTCCTTTCGAGGGGTGGCTGATTCTTTTCCCCTTTCTTGAAGCAGCAAAAGAGAGAGACCTCCAGAAAGAAGCGAGCCAGGGGCTCCTGAAATAAACAAGAGGAGGAGCATTTTGTGTGCTAAGAAAGGGTTTTGGGGGATGAGGGGTCGGGAGGATAGAAGGTGGAACTGGGAGAAGGGAGAGGGAAGAGGCGGGTGACTGGGAGGAAAGAGAAGAACTGGGAGAAGAGAGAGGGAAGGTGGCATATCTGGGAGGAAAAATTGTAAGAAGGTGGCATATCTGGGAGGGGTGTAATTGTAAGAAAAGAGGGCATAACTGGGAGGAAAGAGGGTGTAACTGGGAGGAAAGAAAATAACTGGGAGAGTCGAAAGGAAAGACGCAAAACTGAGATGATAGAGGGTGTAACTGGGAAGAAAGAGAGCATAACTGAGCGGAAAGAAAGTATAATTGTAAGGAAAGCATGGTATAACTGGGAGGAAAGAGGTTATGACTGGGAGGAAAGAGAATAACTGGGAGAATCGAAAGGAAAGATGGCATAACTGGGAGAAAAGTGGATGTAACTGGGAAGAAAGAGGGAATCACTGAGAGGAAAGAGACTGTAATTGTAAGGAAAGGGGGTATAACTGAGAGGAAAGAGAATAACTGGGAAAATCGAGAGGAAAGATGGCATAACTGGGAGGAAAGTGGATGTAACTGGGAAGAGAGTAATTGTAAGGAAAGAAGTTATAATGGAAGGAAATAAAATATAACTGGGAGGAGAGAGGTTATAACTGGGAAGAAAGAGAAGAACTAGGAGACTAGAGAGAAAATATGGCAAAACTGGGAGGAAAGAGGGTTCAACTGGGAAGAGGGCATAACTGGGAGGAAAGAGAGGATGATGTAAGAAAAGAGAGTATAACTGGGAGGGAAAAAATAACTGGGAGACTCGAGAGGAAACAGGATATAACTGGGAGGAAAGAGGGTGTAACTAGGAAGAAACAGAGTGTAACTGTAAAGAAAGAGGGTATAACTGGGACTAAAGAAGGTATAATGTAAGCAAAAAGGGCATAAATGGGAGGAGAGAGAAGAATTGGAAGAATCGAAGGCAAAACTGGGAAGAGAGAGGTTGTAACTGGGAGGAAAGAGGGCATAACTGAGAGAAAATAGAGTATAATGTAAGGAACGAGGATATAACTCTGAGGAAAGAGAAGAACTGGGAGAATCGAGAGGAAAGATGGCATAACTGGGAGGAAAGAGGGTGTAACTGGGAGGGAAAAGGGCATAACTGGGAGGAAAGAGGGTATAACTGGGAGAATCGGGAGGAAAGAGAATGTGACTGGTGGGATGAGGAAGAAAGCGGGTTTAGGGGGGCTGTTGTTGGTAGAGGAAGAAAGACCGGGCAAAGTGGAAGTGCTAAGCTTGGGAGCTGCAGCGATTAAAGCACACACACACACACACAGAGGGAAGCTTTCCTCCTCCTCCTCCTCCTCCGGCCCTTCCCCTCCTTCTCGGGCTGGCTGCCTCCTTCCTTCCTTCCCTCCTTCTTTCCTTCCTTCCTTCCTTCCCTCCCCACTCTCCTCCCCTCCGCCTTTTGGGCGAGAGCCCCCTTCCTCTGACGTAGCCCCCGATGATTGGCAGGGCTGACAGTGATTGGCAGCCCGCTGCCATGGCGACGCCCCAACGACGCCCGGCAGGCCAATAGAAAAAGCGAAACAAAATGCTCGGGCGCCCGCACTACGCGGCGGATTGAGGAGAGAGAGAGATATTATGAGGCGGTGGCGGTTGGCATTAGGGCGACCGCGGCCGAGTCACTGAAAAGCAAGCCCCCTGGTTTGGGTTGGGGTGGGCTTTTTTTTTTTGGCTCGGCGGCGGCGGCGGCAGCAGGGGGACTTTTGGGTGTGCGAGGGAGTGAGTGAGTGAGTGAGTGAGTGTGCAAGAGACCCAGAGAGAGAAAGAGAGAGAAGGGGGAAAGGAAGACGGCGGCTCGGATGCCTTCCTGGACGCCTGCGTGGGGCTGATCGCGAGTGGGAGCGAGGAAGGGGGGCGCGTGGGTTCGGACGAGGGTCTCTATGCGGCTGCGGATGCGTGTGGGGTGCGTGGGCCCCCTTTCCCTCCCCTCCGCCTCCTCCTCCTCCTTCTCCTCCTGGGCTGCTGCTACTTCCCCGTCCTCCTCCTCCTCCTCCTCTTCCTCCTCCTCCTCTTCGCCTTGATCCCCCTTCCTCTCCTCTTCCTCTCTCCCTTCTTCTTTCTTGCCGTCCCCCCGCTCCCCGTCCGCCCGCCAGGCTGGGTCCCATGGTGTTCCGATCCCCTCTAGAGCTTTATCCGGCCCATTTCTTCCTGCCCAACTTCCCCAGCGAGCCGCACCCGGCCCACCACCACCCGCACCGCTCGCTCCTGCTGGCCAGCGGCGGCGGCGGCGGAGGGGCCACCACCACCGGACCTGGAGGAGGCGGAGGAGGAGGCGGAGGTGGAGGCTCGGGCGGCACTGGAGGCTCCTCCGCCGGCGGCGGCTCCTCGTCGTCGTCCTCGTCGCGCGTGGGGCCCGAAGAGCTGTCCATGTTCCAGCTGCCCACGCTCAACTTCTCCCCGGAGCAAGTGGCCAGCGTCTGCGAGACGCTGGAGGAGACGGGCGACATCGAGCGCCTGGGCCGCTTCCTGTGGTCGCTGCCGGTGGCGCCGGGCGCCTGCGAGGCCATCAACAAGCACGAGTCCATCCTGCGGGCCCGGGCCGTGGTGGCCTTCCACACGGGCAACTTCCGCGACCTCTACCACATCCTGGAGAACCACAAGTTCACCAAGGAGTCGCACGGGAAGCTGCAGGCCATGTGGCTCGAGGCCCACTACCAGGAAGCCGAGAAGCTGAGGGGGCGGCCGCTGGGCCCCGTCGACAAGTACCGCGTCCGCAAGAAGTTCCCGCTCCCGCGCACCATCTGGGACGGCGAGCAGAAGACCCACTGCTTCAAGGAGCGGACTCGCAGCCTCCTGAGGGAGTGGTACCTCCAGGACCCCTACCCCAACCCCAGCAAGAAGAGGGAGCTGGCCCAGGCCACGGGCCTCACCCCCACCCAGGTCGGCAACTGGTTCAAGAACCGACGGCAGCGCGACCGGGCCGCCGCCGCCAAAAACAGGTCAGTCCCACGCGAGTGTGTGCAGGGGAGGGCTGTGCGTGGGGTTGGAGGGGAGAGGCCACGGGTAGGGGCCACTCTCGCATAGACATCCACGCGTGACCAGTGCGAACCCCCATTACTCACCAGGGAGAGGGAAGGATCCTCAACTCTCACGCTTCCTTTAGGGAGGAGGTTTAATGGGGACCCCTGTTCCCACGCGTGACATGGGACACATCCCCCCGAACCCACCCACGTGAAGTCAGGGACCCCCCCCCCAGCTCTCCCACGTTCTTTCAGGAAGGAGTGTGAGGGATCCCGAATTCGCACGAGTCCTTTTGGGAGGAGGTTTGGGGGACCCCCGGCTCCTGCGCGTCCACTCATGCTGAACAAGTCAAAGGTCAGGGATTCCCAACTCTCCCACGTACTCTCAGGAGTAAGTGTGAGTGTTGGGGAATCTGAAAACCAACAGGGAGGGCTCCCCAATTCCCAACTCTCGCTCTCGCGCTTCCAAACCCACGCGTGACCACAGACCACCAGACCCACCCACGTAAGTTCAGGGACCCCCCCCCCAACTTTCACACGTCCTTGCAGGAGGAGGATTTGGGGGATCCCCAACTCGCATTCCTCCTCCCACGCGTGACCAGGAACCCCCCAAGCCCTGCTCCTCTCCACAGGCCATGGGTTAGGCTACCTTGCTCGACTTTCAGAGCCTCTTTCCCTCCCCAGAAATCGCGATGTTGTCAGTGTGGGTCCCCTCTCTAGCAGGGCAGAAACCCCTCCTGGAAAGCCAAAAGAAACCCGAAAGTTGAGTGAGGTTCTCTCCCTCCTTCTAAAGAGACACTTCCTTTAAAAACCCGGAGTTTTGTCTCTCTCCATCCTGCCGAGAGAGGTGTGTTTGCCTTTCTATTCCCCGCTTGGAGTTCTCCATGCTATCCCAGTTGCAAAGTTTTGCCTGCTCGCCAAACTGTCTTATGATCTTAAAATATATTTGGAAACTGGACTCCTTCCACCCGTTCAAATTCCCCCCTATTCCCTGAACACGTGTGTACCTGCGTGTCCGTTTGAGTACCCATAAAAATAAAGCGAGGGATCTAACTAGGGACCCATCACCATAAGAGAGGAGAGAGAAGCAGATAGAGAGAGAGAAGGAGAGAGAGAGAGAGAGAGAAATCGCCTGAAGCGGAAGCCGTCCTGTTTTCCCTTCCGCGGACAATCCTCGGGCACAAATCGGTCTGTAAATAAATCCTCCCTCCTCGCCGCTTGCATTGGAGTTCCGACTAGTGTTATGATTGGATTTTATGTCTCCGAAATGTCACTTGGCCCTTTCGCTGTGACTTGTCAAAAGGATCACATGAAAGGATGAACCCGGAGCTGGAATAACAAACAATGCAACGCGAGGAGGAGGGAAAAGGAGGGCTGCCTGTGCTTCTTGATCTGCGCCAGGCAAGAAACGCAGAAACTTTTTCCCTCGCCTTCTTCTCAGCTTTCCTCAGTAAATAGTCTAAATAAACCCATGGAAATCTGCCTTCTGAAGGGGGCTGGGAAGACCAGGAAGCGGCTGTTTCTCTATCCTTATTCATTATCAAGCAAACAAACAAATCCATTTGCTGAGAGGGGGGATCAAGATAAAGAGAAGGCAGAGGAAAGGGCGCCAAAGGAAAGCAAAGAGAGGCAAAGCTTTGCAAAAAGTTGCCCGTCCCTCCCCTCCAGAGCCTGGCATTTATTTTTCCTAAGGGTTTCCGCCTTGGTTGAGGGGTAAATAATATCCAGGGCCGGGTGAGAGTAGCGTGAGAGACTAAAAAGCATGTTTTTTGTGGCGCGGAGACCCATTTGCGCTTCTTTTTGTGGCTCGCAGGCCATTCAAAAAAGGGGACAGGGAAGGGAACAAAAGAGTCTTTGCCGATTTAATTTCAGGCAAAGACATGGGGAGATTTGTCGTGAATTTGGAGGGGAGACAGAAGGCGCCCAGAGCCCCACTCGCAGCCCTCCACTTTGGGCAAAAGTGCCTGGGATGGAGGCACAAATGCAATCCACACTGGGAAAGGTTTACCAGGAAACTTTTAAAAAGGAGGTCGCCACCGTTGGGAATTTAAAAAATAATCAGCACACTGGGGAATCAAAAGGCCCTTCTTCCACCTACAATATCAAAGCAGAAAATCCCACAATATCTGCTTTGAACTGGGTTGTCTGAGTCCACACTACCATATATTCCAGTTCAAAACAGAAATGTTTTTATTCAGCTGTGGGCCAAATAAGTGAGCTCAAAGGAGCCTAAAATCCACTTGTGCCAAGATACATAGTTTTCCAAAGCTTTTGAAGGAGAGGAGAGTTCAGCCCACAGGGTTTTCCTTTTTTTTTCCTTTTTTTTTTACATTTGATTCTTTGCTTCTGGAAACGGGACTTTTCCTTCTCTTTCGAAAAGTGGGCTCCATTCCCCGCCACGCGCCATTCTTTGATCCGCTTCAAGATCCAAGGCAACCTCTGGCCTTTTCCACACAGCTGAGTAAAATCCCACATTTTCTGCTTTGAATTTATGGCAGTGTGGACACAGATAATCGAGTTCAAAGCATATACTGTGGGATTGTCTGCCACGATATTCTAGGGCTGTGTGGAAGGGCCCTCAGCCGAGCCTGAGATAACATGGAGAATATTCTACTCAAGTTACAAATTATTATTATTATTATTATTATTATTATTATTATTATTATTATTATTTGAAACACAATAAGATGAGTCCACAGCAGACATTCTGCTGGCTGTTGTATTGGATCACACGTCGGACACTTCCTAATAATAATAATAATAATAATAATAATAATAATAATAATAATTCCCTCTGGCTTTATGGCACCCTTCTCTCCTTCCCACGAAAAGCACCCAACCAAATCGGGACCAATCTGGCGTCGTTGTTGACAATTGTAGGGTTCAGTGCCCGGGGATGTATTCCTTTGTCTGTCCGTCCCTCTTGAGTCTTTCCAAGCTCACTTTGAGAAACCAATTTTTGTCCTGTCCACCAAAACAAACACTATAGGGGCGAGTATCCAAAGGAGGGAATAATGTGCCTATATGACCCATGATTTGGGAAAGGCTGCCTTCTCTCCCTGTTGTTTTACGAGCCAGCCACAGAGGCTGGTGTCTTTGTGTGGGTGTTTTATTTATATCCCCAAGACAATATATCTTCCTTTCCGCGTGGGATCTCAGCAAAGCGTCTCGGGTGGCCCTTCCTTTCTCGTAGGGGGACCCTTTGTGACTCTCCACGCTGCCAGTGGACAGGTCACTACTGGTGGCCGAAGTGACCAGGACTGGGATAGACTGGGAAGGTTAAATGAAGGCCCATCACCCTCCTCCCTTTTCCCCCGCCTGAGTGCCTGGATGGAAAATATCTGGGAAAATATTATTTGCGCCCCAAAAAGGTGTCCGGCGATATGTGAGCGAGAGAGTAGCTTTTTTGTGTTATGTTTCACCTTCCTCTCGAAAAAAAGAAAGCAGCAGGAGAAAGGTTTTTCTTTGCAGCTGCTTTTTAAAAGCTCTTTCTGACTTCTCCTTCCCTCCCGCTTTATTTACTCAGCTTTGACATCCTGGGGAAGAAAGAGAAAGTGTCTCTATATACATTTGTGTGTGTACATTATATATATTGGGGAGATTCTTAGTTGCGAAAGGGACATGGAGGCCGAAAAGAGAGGGAAGAGGCCAAAGTCCATGGGCCAAAAGTCACAAAGGCCTCTGGTGTTTCAAGAACTTTTGGGGGAAATGATTTTGCACATAATGGAATGTCATTTCCTATTTATACTGTACATGATTCTATTGTAAATTAGAGCAAAACATAAAGGAATGATTAAATATTGAAACCCCTTTGTGACTTTTGACCCACCTTGTAAGTATCTATGTTTGTGTACATTCGGGGAGAAGGCCGAAAGAAAGGCTGGATCTACACTGCCATATAAATTCAGTTCAACCTTAATTTTAAGGCAGTGGAGATCCAGCCAAAGCGGCAAAAATTAAAAAAAAAAAGTATAGGTGATTGTTTTGAAGGCTGGAAGCGGTTCTTTTCAATGGGGTTTGTTATTTGGGGGGAAAGTCTGAGTTGGGGCAAAGAGGAGCGTACCCAGACTGGGGCCCCTGACTTTCTGGAATGCTGGGATCTACAGTTCTAGAAACCTCAGACTGGGTCTACCCTGACCACATAATGTAACTGCATTGAACTGCATTATATGGTCAGTGGATTACCATATAACACAGTTCAAGCTGCATGATACGGTTCTACACTGAGCATATAATGCGGTTCAGTACAGGCTGAGTTACATGGTGACCATACAATGCAAACTGAGTTATATGGCCATGTAATGCAGTTCAATGCAGTCCGAGCTATATGGATGCACATTGGCCATATAATACAGTTCAGTGCTTCCCTGCTGACCACACAATGCAGTTCAATGCAAGCTGAGTTATTTGGTTCTACACTGACCATATAATGTAGTTCAATACAGGCAGAGTTATATGGTGATCATACAATGCAATTCAATCCAAGCTGATTTATATGCTTATTTGCTGACCATACAATGCTGTTCAATGCACGCTGGGTTATATGGTTTTACACTGACCATGTAAAGCAGTTTAATGCAGTTTGGGTTATATGGCAGAACACTGACCATACAATGCAGTTAAATACAGGCTGAGTTGTATGCTGACCATACAGTGCAAGTCAATGCAATCTGAGTTATATGCTTTTTTTGCTGACCATGCAGTGCAGTTCAATGTAAACTGAGTTGCACGGTTTTGCACTGACAGTCTGAGTTATATGGCTGCGCACTGACCATACAATGCAGTTCAATACAGGCTAAGTTATATGGCGACTAGTACACAATGTAATTTAATGCAAGCTGAGTTATAGGCTTCTTTGCTAACCATACAGTGCAGTTCAGAGCAAGCTGAGTTATATGGTTTTACACTGACCATGTAATGCAGTTCAATGCAGTATAAGTTGTATAGCTGTGCACTGAACATACAGTGCAGTTAAATACAGGCTGGGTTATATGGTGACCATAGAATGCAATTCAGTGCAAACGGAGTTATAGGCTTCTTTGCTGACCATACAATGCAAGCTGAATTATACGGTTTTACACTGGCTATGTAATGCAGTTCAATGCAGCCTGAGCTATATGACTGCACAGTGGACATATAATGCAGTTCAATGCAAGTAGAGTTCTATTCTTCTTTGCTGACCATGCAATATAGTTCGATGCAAGCCGACTTATATGGTTCTACCCGGCCCATACAATGCAGTTCAGTGCAAACTGAGTTACACGGTTTTACACTGATCATGTAATGCTGTTCAGTGCAGTCTGAGTTATATGGCTGCGCACTGACCTTACAATGCATTTCAATGCAGGCTTAGTTATATAGTGACCACACAATGCAATTCAATGCACGCTGAGTTATATGCATATTTGCTGACCACGCAATATAGTTAAATGCAAAATGAGTTATATGTTTCGACACTGACCATATAATGTGGTCCAATACAGGCTGAGTTATAGGGTGAACATACAATGCAATTCAGTGCAAGTTGAGTTATATGCTTCTTTGCTGATCACGCCATGCAGTTTAACGCAAGCTGAGTTATGTTTTGACACTGACCATATAATGCAGTCCAATACAGGCTGAGTTATAGGGTGAGCATACAATGCAGTTAAGTGCAAGCTGAGCTGCACGGTTTTACACTGGCCATGTAATGCAGTTCAATGCAGTCTGAGTTATATGGCTGCACACTGGACATATAATAGAGTTCAATGCAAGTTGAGTTCTATGCTTCTTTATTCACCATACAATGCAGTTCAATACAAGGAGAGTTCTATGCTTCTTTGCTGACCATGCAATATAGTTCGATACAAATAGAGTTATATGCTTCTTTGCTGACCATGCAATGCAGTTTAATGCAAGCTGAGTTATATGTTTCAACACTGACCATATAATGCAGTCCATTACAGGCTGAGTTATAGAGTGACCATACAATGCACTTCAGTGCAAGCTAAGTTCTATGCTTCTTTGGTGACCATACAATGTAGTTCAATGCAAGCAGCGTTACACGGTTTTACAATGACCATGTAATGCAGTTCAATGCAGTCTGTGTTATATAGCTACACACTGGACGTATAATACAGTTCAATGCAATTAGAATTATATGCTTCTTTGCTGACCACGCAATGCAGTTCAATGCAAGCTGAGTTATATGTTTCGACACTGACCATATAATGCAGTCCAATACAGGCTGAGTTATAGGGTGAGCATACAATGCAATTCAGTGCAAGCTGAGTTCTATGCTTCTTTGCTGACCATGCAATATAGTTCGATACAAGTAGAGTTATATGCTTCTTTGCTGACTATAAAATGCAGTTCAGTGCAAGCTGAGTTGCACGGTTTTACACTGTTCATGTAATGCAGTTCAATGCAGACTGAGCTATATGGCTGCACACTGGCCATATAATTCAGTTCAGTGCAAGCTGAGTTGTATGCTTCTTTGCTGACCATACAATGCAGTTCAGTGCAAGCTGAGTTGCACGGTTTTACACCGCTCATGTAATGCAGTTCAATGCAAGCTGAGTTATATGTTTCAACACTGACCATATAGTGCAGTCCAATACAGGCTGAGTTATAGGGTGAGCATACAATGCAATTCAATGCAAGCTGAATTATATGCTTCTTTGCTGACCATGCAATATGTTTCGATACAAGTAGAGTTATATACGTCTGTGCTGACGATACAATGCAGTTCTGAGTTGCACGGTTTTACACCGCTCATGTAATGCAGTACAATGCAAACTGAGCTATATGGCTGCACACTGGCCATATAATGCAGTTCAATGCAAGTAGAGTTGTATGCTTCTTTGCTGACCATCCAATGCAGTTCAATGCAAGCTGAGCTATATGGTTCAAAGTGTAGAAGCATAGGCTGCAGTTGAGGCTGTATTGTGTGGTCAGGGCAGAGCCAGCTTCGGTTCCAAGGAGAGAGTCTGGAGGCGGAGAGAGGTTGGCTCGCTTTCTCTCTGCCTTTGCGCCTTGTCGCGCGCGCCTCCTCTCCTCTCCTTTCCGGCTGGGTCTACTCTGCCTTGTGAGACACTCTGTGCCGTGCTCTAGGCTCAGCGTGGAAGCGTATGAGGCAGCCCGAGCCACGTCGTGCTTGGCCGGCCTTTGTCTGGGGTGCGTGCGGTGCGTCCCGCGTGGCGTGCCTCCCTGGTCTGCATCTCCCTTTCTGTGCTTGCTCCCCTCAGGCTCCAGCACCAGGCCATCGGACAGAGCGGGATGCGGTCCCTGTCGGAGCCGGGCTGCCCGACCCACAGCTCGGCCGAGTCGCCCTCCACGGCGGCCAGCCCCACCACCAGCGTCTCCAGCTTGACCGAAAGAGCCGAGACCGGCACCTCCATCCTCTCGGTAACCTCCAGCGACTCAGAATGTGATGTATGATAACGGAAAGGAACGCCAACCAGTACACTTGTGTTTTTTTCTTGGAAAAAAATGTAATAATAATAATAACAACAACATAACAACATAAAATTATATTTAAAAATTACATTGAACAAAACAGATAAACCTAAGGAGAAAGAGAGGATGAAAACAACTCCATAATAATTAAGGGACAACAAAGGAAAAATAATAATAAAGCCTTTCCAAAATACTGAACAATCCCCCTCCTATTCATAAGGAAAGTGACATTGGAAAGAGTTTTTCCTTAATTGAAAAACTCAAGCAAAAGGAAAAAATAAGCAATCCATTGAGGGGAAGACAGAACACAAAAGGAAGGAAACAAACCACAAACTTGGACGGTTGGCGATGCTGCAGCAGGGGAAAGAAAATATTATTATTACTATTATTATTATTATTGATGATGATGGTGGTCATGCTTTGCTAAGTGACTATTCTTATTGAGGAAGGAAGGGAGGAAGGAAAGAAGGCGACCTTTGCATTCTTTGTCGGACAAAACAAAACAAAAATATATCCCAAGCACGTTGGAAGCTCTCTTTTCTTTATTTTTTTGGTTCGGGTTTTTATTTTTAAATTTTTTTTGGTCTCATGAATCGCGCTTTCCCATCAAAGACTGCATTTACTTCACCCATTTTTTGCATGACGGTGATGAATTCAATTTGTATGGGGAGGTGGGGAGGGAAATATATTATTCTCGATAATAAATGGACAAAAAAATTCAAAAAGACTTGGGAAAGGGAGGGGAGAGAAGAAAAGACGACGCCGAGCAAGTTTGTACAAACAAAGAAAAAGGAAAAAAATGCGGTTTTTTTTTAAAAAAAGGAACTCTTTGAAGAGGGAAATAACAAATGTTTATCGCCTTTCGGTTGGATTTTTTTAACAATGTGTCTCTATGGCTCTGTAAACCCCCTCCTCCTCCTCCTCCCAATCCTCAAATATGCGATGGTTTTAAACTAGAAGCAATTTTGCCCCTCCCTCCCCTTTCTTTCTTTCTCTTCCCTTCCCTCGTTGGGTTGCTGGTTATTATTATTTTCTTTTTGAAATAATAATAATTTGTTTTTGTTTTTATTCTTTGGTTCAACAGACAATCATTTTTCTTCGTAAAGCACCTTTTTTTCTACACTTTCTGTCACTGCCTGTTTTGTGGGTACTGGTTATAAATGTGGAAAAAGAATAGTTAATGACTGTAACAGATTTTTATTTTTATTTCAAAATTTTATATGAATTATGTATAATATCTTAAGCGATGCGGTCCTTACCCCCTCCCCTCCCTCCTCCTCCTCCGGTTTGTAATATATGTGTAGAAAAAAATTGCTTGTATATGAGATTTTTGGGCTCTTCTTTTCCTTGTCTCTCTTCCTTCTCTCTCGCTCTCTGCCCCCCCCCTTTCTCTTTCTTTCTTTCCTTCTCCTCCTGCTCTTTTCTCTCTCTCTTTCCCTCTTTTATTTGGAAACGGAGCAGTCCCCAGGCTTTTCCTTCTTGCTTTTCTTTCTTTCCCTCTTCTCCTGCTCTTTTCCCTCTCTCAAGTCCTCAGACTCTTCCCTCTTGCCTTTCTTTCTTTCTTTCCTTCTTCATCTTCTCTTTTCCCTCCCTCTTTCCTTCTTTTATTTAGAAACGGACCAGTCTCCAGACTTTTCCCTCTTGCCTTTCTTTCTTTTCTTCTTCTCCTGCTCTTTTCCCTCTCTCAAGTCCCCAGACTCTTCCCTCTTGCATTTCTTTCTTTCCTACTTCTCCTGCTCTTTTCCTTCCCTCAAGTCCCCAGACTCTTCCCTCTGTCCTTTCTTTCTTTTCTTCTTCTCCTACTCTTTTCCCTCCTTCAAGTCCCCAGACTCTTCCCTCTTGCCTTTCTTTCTTTCCTACTTCTCCTGCTCTTTTCCTTCCCTCAAGTCTCCAAACTCTTTCCTCTGTCCTTTCTTTCTTTACTCCTTCATCTGCTCTTTTCCCTCCCTCAAGTCCTCGGACTTTTTCCTCTTGTATTTCTTTCCTTCTTCTCCTGCTCTTTTTCCTCCCGCATAGTCCCCAGACTCTTCCCTCTTGCCTTTCTTTCTTTTCTTCCTCTCCTGTTCTTCCCCCTCCCTCAAGTCCCCAGACTTTTCCCTCTCGCCTTTCTTTCTTTCCTTCTTCTCCTATGCTTTTCCCTCCCTCAGACATTTCCCTCTCGCCTTTCTTTCTTTCCTTCTTCTCCTGCTCTTTTCCCTCCCTCAAGTCCCCCGGACTCTTCCCTCTTGCCTTTCTTTCCCTCTTCTCCTGCTCTTTCCCCCCTCCCTCATTGTCCCCAGACTTTTCCCTCCTGCTTTTCTTTCTTTCCTTCCTCTCCTGCTCTTTTCCCTCCTTCATAGTCCCCAGACTCGAGTTCCTTGCACAAACTTTTGCCGTCAAGAGGTGACGGGTTCCGTTTCCAAAAAGAGACCTTGGCGACAGACGAAAAAAAACAGGCAAAAGGTGTCACTATATTTCTCTGATGCAAAAATCATTTAGTTTCGCGAGTCCTTCAATACTAAATAGCCGCTTTCTTTGGGGGAGGGGGGTTTGAAATCTCTTCTTCAACTCCGCCTAGGACGCTCATGCCACTTGTTTTCCTTTACTGCGTGTTTATCTCTATGTACAAACTTTCTTAAAAAAAAAGAGAAACCAATCAAATACAGTATTCCATTTTTTCTTATCTATTCAGCGACGTTGGTGTTTTTTCCTCTGCTTTGACGCTTCAACGATTATTTATTTTTCTAAATACATGTTGGTTTCGGTGGGGGGAATCCCTGGCTGTCGAACTTCCCCACCCAGAAGGCGCTTAAGCCGTCGAAGCAGTTCCGGTTCAACCCGTCCCAGCCTCCAGGACTGGCTTCCTCGGAAGTAAGTCCCCTTCACGCTCATGATATTATGACCATGACCATCTGCACCGTCGAGTTAACGCAGTTTGATACCACTTGGAGCTGCCATGGCGCAACGCTATGGAAACGTGGGAGTTGGAGTTCTCTCTGCCAAAGAGCGCTAATGCATCACCAAACTACAACTCCCAGGATTCCATAACATGGAGCCATGACAGTTCAAGTGGTGTCAAACTGCATTCATCTCAGAGCATAGACGCAGCACCCTCGGAAGGGACTATATGGGCCTTGGGGGGAACCTCAATAGATACGAATAGTTACGAATCGGGTCTTCCTGAAGCACGTTTTCGTGAGATTAAACCAGGCATGGGTAAATTTGGACCCTCCAGGTGTTTTGAGCTTCAGCTCCCACCATTCCTAACAGCCCCAGGCCCCTCCAGGTCCAAAACACCTGGAGGGCCCAAGTTTGCCCATGCCTGATCTAAACTGACCTTTGCCTGAGTCTTCAAATTAGTTTCTCTGGCTTTGTGACCTCTCTTTGTCCTTCCCGTGAAAGACACCCATCCACATCTCGAGTTGTTGACGATTGGAGGACCTTCCTCAGTTGACAGGCCAGGGTCATGGCGAGCCCTTGGAAGTGATGGCCAAGGCCATTCAGCTCTCTGGGAATGCCTTCCGATTCAGCTTTGCGTGCTTTGGGATCGGACCAGGCCTCGAATGACTTCCCAAATCCCACAGAAGCCAAGGCGACCCTTTGAACTCGCCGTGGCTTTAGAGACGGGAGAATGTCCTGGGAGGAAGCTGTATTTTTCCACTCGTGTAACTCGGGTGGGTTGGAGAAAACTCCTCTCCTTTGCCTTCCTTTTCTTGGGGGCCCATCAGCTTGCCTTTCGCCCCACTCCTTTCCAACCCACGGCAGGTGGGGCACCTTCTCAGCCCAGTTTCCTTATCGCTTCTAGGTTTCAAACATTATTTTTATTGCATAGTCGAAGGCTTTCATGGCCGGAATCGCTGGGTTGTTGTGAGTTTTCAGGGCTGTATGGCCGAACTCCAGAAGCATTTCCTCCTGACGTTTCGGCTGCATCTAGAGCAGGCATTCTCAGGAGGTTGTGAGGACTAACACCTTCCAACAAAGGATTCCCTCAGGTAGGAATCAGCCAGGCCTTGAAGCTGCAAGGCTTTTAAATGCTAATCAAGGTGATCCATTGCAACATCCAACAGACTAGAGTTCTTTCTCCCACCCTGGACTATATAAACCTCACTTAGTTTCCAACAGACCTCACACTCTCTGAGGATGCCTGCCGTAGATGCAGGCGAAACGTCAGGAGAGAATGCTTGTGAAACATGGCCATACAGCTCGGAAAACTCACAACAATCCATTATTTTATCCTTTCTGCCTAAATGCTAGTTCTCTTTGTGCTTAGCGCCACTCCAAATAATACTTTTGTTTTTGGACGGGATGTGTGTGTATTTTGAACCCTTTACTTCGAGGTGGGATCGGTCCAGGAGACCCTAACCCAGTAAGCCACCCCTCTGGAAAGCCCACCAACATGCTCCTGTCTCCTTTCATGGCTTTCTCGACTCCCAAGGAGACGGTTCCACGGGCTGAAAGGGGTCTTTCTTTGCTTGGCGCATTCAAAAGTATACCCCCCCCCCAAATATATATATATATTCTCCCCTTTCCCCTTCCACATCCTCCCCTTCCTCCTCCGCCCCCGCTTTCTCTGGGCCCCGGGGCAGGTTAGTCAGGCGCGAATTCAGGAAGAGGTGGTTTCTCAAACTTGTTTTTACTTGAAACTAGACTTTGGAAACTTTGCGACGAATCAGGGAAGCACGCATTTCCCATTTTGTCTCGGGAGGGTCGAGTCACTTTTCGTGTCCGAGGTGCGCGCCGTGGAAAAAACGGGTTTGGTGTCTTTCCGAAGGATTTTCGGAGGGAAGCTTTGGCATCCTCCTGGAAAGCTGGCCTATTGTATAAACCTCCAGAGAAGGGGTGAGGTTGGACCAGAAGGAGAACTAGGGAGGCTGCTGAACTTCTGCCGCTTTCAGTGGGAAAGACTAATCAGGTCTTCCCCCTCTTCTTTTGGCTCTGGCTGAATCCACACCGTCGTAGAATACAGTTTGAACTGCATTATATGTCAGTGGAGATCCAGCCACAGTCTGGATCGGGACCCTCGCCTTTGTGTCTGTTGGGTTTGATGTTTGGATCTTGCTTGGAGCCCCTCGCCGACGGAGAGAAGAGTCAGGCAGACAGAGAGAATAAAAAAAAAAAAAGAGGGAGAGAAAATCCACTTACTTTGATTGATTTATCCGCTTGTTGGGAATATCGTGATTTCGAGCTTAGGGAAGGAAGGACGGGAATGGTTTTCTCAGTCTGTTGGCGAAGAAGAAGTGAGGGAGAGAGGCTCTCCTCGGAGGCTTCCTTGGCCCTTTGGGCAGAAAGGCCAAGCAAAGCTCCCCATTCCCAGCATCTCCTTGGATTCCTAAGGATATTAAAACAACCTTACAGTAGTATATATATTTGTGTATATATACTACTGTATCTATTTCTAGATAATTTGTGTCTCAAGTCGCTCTTGCAGTTTCTCAAGTCGCTCCAGACTACACACACACACACACACACACACACASASAGAGAGACGTATCTAGATATATATACACACACACACACAYAYAYATATATATATATATAGTGTGTGTGTGTGTGTATATATATATATATATATAATGTGTATATACACACWMTATATATATAGTGTGTATATCTATCTATAGTGTGTGTATAGTGTGTGTATATATAGTGTGTATATGTATATAATATATATGTATGTGTATATRTATATATATATRTATATATATATAGTCAGGAGCGACTTGAAAAACTGCAAGTCGCTTCTGGTGAGAGAACTGGCAGTCTGCAAGGACGTTGCCCAGGGGAAGCCCCTGATGTTTTGATGTTTTATCATCCTTTTGGGAGGCTTCTCTCATGTCCCCGCAAGGGGAGCTGGAGCTGACAGAGGGAGCTCATCCGTGCTCTCCCTGGATTCGAACCTCCGACCTGTGGTCTTAAGTCCTGACGGCACAAGGGTTTAACCCATTGGGGGGGGGGGTTCCTATCTATCTATCTATCTATCTATCTATCTATCTATCTATCTATCTATCTATCTATGAGCCCCCATTGGGGGGGGGGGTCCTTTCTGTCTATCTATATATGAGTCCATCCCCCTTGGCTCAGTGGATTAAAGCACTGAGCTGCTGAACTTGAGTTAACCGAATCCGGGGAGCTCCCACTGTCTGCCCTAGTTTCTGCCAACTTAGCAGTTCGAAAACATGCAAATGTGAGTAGATTAATAGGTACGGCTCCGGCGGGAAGGGAACTGCCTCCATGCAGTCATGCAGGCCACATGACCTTGGAGGTGTCTGTGGACAATACCTGCTCTTCGGCTTAGAAATGGAGATGAGCACCAACCCCCAGAGTCCAACACGACTGGACTTAATGTCAGGGGACAACCTATATATATGTATGTGTATCACATACATACATACCTGATTCCCCCCAGGCATGGTTCGGCCCCACTCCCTTACCCTACTAGCTTACACCCAGTTTGCAGTTTGTTAGTAAAGCATCCGCTTCTCCCAAATAAGTCGAATTGGCCGAAGAATTTGCAGGAATGTGTCCCCAATCCGAAATACTAGCAAGAAACTCCTTGCCATTTGTTCTGGATGGGAGATCATGCTGCTCAAACCTAAATCTCGAGCTTCATTCTTGAAAAAAAGAGGAAGCATTTTACTCTGTAAGATACCGTTTCCTCCCCTCCACAACCATTGCCTTCAAAGAGAGCTCACCTCCAGAGCTCTCCCTGACCCTATGGCTGACTCCATCCCATTGCGTTTCATGGGACTCCAGTCTGGAGAAGCAAAACCTTATGGGACAGAGCCAGCTCCAATGGCTCTTCGTACGTTTGAATAACCTTCTTCGGAACTGTTGCTTTTCAGTCCAGTTCGCTTCAATCGTCATTGTAGACCAGGCATGGGCAAACTTCGGTCCCCCAGATGATTTGGACTTCAACTCCTACCATTCTGAACAGCCTCAGGCCCTTTCCTTTCGCCCCTCATCCACTTAAGCGGAAACGGAAATAATAATAATAATAATAATAATAATAATAATAATAATAATAATAATCTGTATTTATATACTGCCCTATCTCCCCAAGAGGACTCAGGGCGGTTTCCAATACAGGAAAGTAAAAGGAAAAGGAGGGGGCCTGAGACTATTAGGAATGGTAGCAGTTGAAGTCCAAAACACCTGGAGGGCCCAAGTTTTCCCATGCCTGGTGTAGACCCATATAATGCGGTTGACCTGCATTTAATCTGCAGACCTGCATTTAATCTGCAGTGTGGATCCATCCGATTTCAAATGAAATGGATTCAGATGAGATTCAACTGGTCTCTGAGCTGGGAAGGAGGAGCAGAAAGACCTCCAATCCCTCGTCGTGCAAACCGTTTAGGATCCACATTTTCTCCCCTCCGAATTAGTGTGCCCTGAAATGCAGCTACCAGGATTGCCAAGCAATTCTGTAATCTCGAATTCCCTTTTCGGAAGTCAACCCATAGAAAGTACTTGGTCGTTGCATTACTTCGTCACCCACCTTCCAAAAGGAAAAAAAGGGATGTGTCAGGAATTCGAGGCGTCTATCCCCTGTGTTGTTGAAGGCTTCCATGGCCGGAATCCCTGGGTTGCTGTGAGTTTTCTGGGCTGTATGGCCATGTTCCAGAAGCATTCTCTCCTGAGGTTTCACCCACATCTATGGCAGGCATTCTGGTAGACCCCTCATCCTCTG